GTGTGTGTGTGTGTGTGTGTGTGTGTGTGTGTGTGTGTGTGTGTGTGTGTGTGTGTGTGTGTGTGTGTGTGTGTATGTATGTATGTATGTATGTATGTATATATATATATATATATATATATATATATATATATATATATATATATATATATAAAATAAAGGAAATTTCTAATAATTCTTCAGTGCACACTAAGCAGCACAGACAGAAGGAAGAAAGAAAACAAGAAAAAGGGTGCAGAGGCAGAAGTGAAAAGGGGAATGCAAGAAGCGCAAAGAGAACAGAAGAAATAGGACGTAAAGAAAATGAAAATTAGGAGGAGGACAGGAAGAAGAAACAAGCTACCTTTGTGCTCATAATGATAATGATAATAATAACAATAATAAAATAAAATAAATAACTAAAAATAACTTGGCCTTCCTTCCAAATGAAATTGACAGGTTTCTTTACAGTCATAAAAAAAAAATAAATAAATAAAAAAATAAATAAAATATGCGACAATATTCCACTCTCTTTTCTAATATACCGATATCCTAAATTTTCCAGCATTATACATGATTCTTCGGACATTAAAAAAATATACAAAAAGCCCAGATCTTGAAATATGGAAAAAAAAAAAAAAGTATTTTTTTTACACAATCACCAGATGTAACATGCTGAGTAAACCTAAACCATTTTTTTTTAATTTTTATTTTGGTATTCTGTGATTTATTCTTTATGCGACACCAACATCATATCCAGCTTGTGAGGGTATTAAGTGTTGACACATACACTCATAGAGGTGTATTGAGAACACAAATAACAGGAGAGAAAAACATAATTAAAAGTGTAAAAAAAGGTTATCTCTGGTAAAAGCACATGTACCTATTTCAAATAAAGATTTCACAGTTTAATACAAATTAAAATACATTCAAATTCAAGTCTTACAATCACGTAAAAAAAAGAAAAGAAAAAGAAAAAGAAAAAAGAAAAAAATAGAAAAAGAAAAACATGCGTACATACATACATAAAAGTGTACAGGGGGGGGGGGGCACACACGAGCCCACACACAAACTTGCAAAATAATAAAAAAGGATGGAACAATTAGAGATAAAATTACAAGAATTGAGCATTTCACAGCTTTAGACACACTAACTTCGTACATCCTCTCGTGCGCTTTCTCACTCTAGCTACTTAATCCGGTCTTTCACGACAGAACTGCAAATGACGATGACAGGATTAAACTCCATGATGATGGGAAGGGAGGAGGGGGAGGGAGGGGTTTACTATGGTGACAATGAGGGGGGGGGGGGGGACTTGATTCAGGTAGCGATGACAGGGCCTTTTTCATTGAAATCAGCAGGGTTTCTGTGGACGAATGTGAGTTTCCGCCTGAGTGACAGCGGATAGATCTCTTGCACCAGGGGACTGTGTTGCTAACTTTGTAAGTCAATTACAATTGTCAACACCCTTCCAGGTGATCCTTAAAATGTGTGGCCTTTCTTCTATCATATAACCAATTTGGTATCGTGATAATACTGTAACATTGAAACCAACAGGATGAACTACTTTGCTTTAGAAGAAGACGAAAAAAAGGCTCACAGGAGCTGAGCCATCCAGACTTCACAACGCCCTCAATCCCAGTCGGCACTGAAAGGGTTTTGGGGTCGGAAACCTTTGAATGATCACTCAGGCTCTTAGGTGTCTGATGATCCATATTCTATAATGAAGGGAACAGTCTCTCTTCTTTACTCTTTTTGGAAGCATCGACTTTCATTCTTAGTGTATGAAACCACCCAAAAAAAGTGAAAAGATCCATACGAAAAGTATCTTAAAAATACTTTGAAAGGAGTAAAACCAAAGCTCATGTTCACTCAAGCCTTGAACCATTAAAAGTCTGTTAAAAAATAGAGGGTGCTTCGAAGTGGCTTAAAATGCACACTTATTTGCGCGTTGTTCGGAGGAGCAATCCCTCGAGAAACTCCTTTTTGATTTCTTGGGACAACCCTGAAGATTTTCAACCCTGATGAAAGTCATCCCTATATGGAAGCCATAAATTCGTAAGGAAGAGAAGAGGAAGCAGAATACATGTTTATAAAAGGACTGATTAAAAAAAAGATCACAGAGACAAAGGGGAAAAAATTTCTGGTAAGTCATTACAGTCACATTCTTAAGGTTATTGCAATGAACAATTTAGTGAAATCGAGCAAAGACAAGGAGCAAAAAAAAAAAAAAAAAAAAAAAAAAAAAAAAAAAAAAAAAAAAAAAAAAAAAAAAAAAACGTTCAGCATTCTCAACCTTTCCATTAGGGGCTACAAGAAAAGCAAACAAATCAAGTGCAAACTTCGCATAAGGAGGCATCTCGAGGTGGCTGAAGACGGACATTACAAATCTCAAAAAAGTAAATAGTCAGCGATCCTCAGCCAGCTCGCCAGCAACTTCAATGTCTTCCTATCTAATATGTACATTCGAGACCCTATGCGCTATTGGCCTTCCTCCTCTGCACCTTATCCAAATGAACGTTAACCTTAAAACTGGTTCTCACAATCAATATGGACCACAGGTCGCATCAGTATAAACGACAACCACATCACTCTCAAAATGCGGTGTAGTTATGAGGTATAAGGAACCACTATGTACTGATTAATACCATGGTTGAATAATATGAGGGAGAGAGCGTGTACATAGCTGAAACACTGTGTCAGTTTAATGTGCTTGGTAAAAATGTCAATCATGAGGGTGCGTACTTGAGTTGCAACAACTCGCAGACAAGACCATGATAACAATTCTTGGAAAAATCGGAACTCATCCCATTAATTACCTAGTACGTAAAACTACCCACTATACATTGTGTTATTTGCAGTTTTAGATGTAGAATCATCATTGATGTACATATACATACATAAAAAGAGAACACAATGAGGGATAGAAAAAGAACATTGTAGCAAAATCAAACAAAAAAACAAAAACAAAAAGGGAAGTAGAAAAGTAATAAAACTCAAGGGAGATGAAAGAGAAAAAAATAAAAAAAATAAAAAAATAAAAATAAGTGCTAAATAAAAAAAAAAAAAAAAAAAAAAAAATACAAGAGAGGGGGCTATATCTATTCATTCAAAACCTCCTGTATTTTGACCTATTGAGATATCAATAATAATATTAATAATAATAATAATAATAATCATAACCCAAGAAGTATACATTTGTAAATTGTTCTTACATTCTTACATAGAAGAAATGAATAAAATAAACAAAAAATAAAAAATAAAAGAAAAAAACATCAGCCATCAACCACTTTCCCCTTTCTTCCAAACGGGAAAAAACTTGGTCTCGACTGACTCACTCCTCTTCCACCTTGCTCCTAAACATTCTGGTAACCCAATGTTTTCTGTTTATCAAAGTAATCCACATCCAAACCGAGAATGCTGTATTGATCAAATTACAAGTGAATGATAACAGGATAACTATAGTGAAATAATAGATGTTACTGTGATAAAATAATGATATAATAATATAATAATCATAA